CTTTATAGCTCTCCCTGTGCGATTGTCTAATCTGAAGTCATTGCCTTTCAAAAGTACACTATTCGAGAATTATGTTAGTGTTAGCAGATAAGCCCGAGTTGGACTTCGACCGTAGGCCTGACGGATCACTCCCGCGGGGCTCGCTTCCACGTCGCATTAGCTCAATGAAAAAGCTACGGCGAGTCAGAGAGATAGATCGCGACGACGGAAGAGCCAATAGCTATAGTGATATTTATATTAGTGTTTCTTACGCTGTCAGGTCCGGCGTTTTTAATATAGTAGTTGACTAAAGTTTAATTTTTTAATACATGCGTACTACTCGCATAAACTACTGACAAGTAAGAAATTGCATTTTGGTTGCAAATTTCGAAAAGCCCTTGAAAAATGTGCTAAATCGGAAATAGCACGTTTATATAAAATTGAAATCCCGTATCTCTGTGGCATCCACGCTACAAATACATTTCTGTGTCTATTACACTGATCGATTTCATGGCATGTAGTTGAACAAACTTCTGTGCCGACTGAAACAATTTATTGCTTCCCGGGATTCAAACCCTAAACGGGTTTGAATCCCGGGAACCTTATATTAGATCACGCTCAACAATTTACCTACGGCGGTTTATTAATGATAAATATCTTAAAATATTCACCTCCTAATAACTACAAGACCACTATTACTAACTAAATATGTGATTAAATACACAGAGTATTTAAAACTAAGCAAAGAAGCTGCATAAGAGAAAAGACAATAATCACCATAGCACATTTATCCTTTTGGTTTCGAAGTCATATTATATTAGCATATATTTGTTTTCAGTCTATTGTATTTATGTCGATCTACTTATTAAATATAAAAATAAATGTTTCCAAATATTGTTATAGCTAAAAGAAGAGGGGAAAGCATTAGAAATATTGTCCCAAAATGGAGATTTCCTCATAGTAAATTAATTGTCAGCCCGATACACAATACAGAGGCAAGGAAAATGTACTCTTAACTACACGACATTAAACTTGCAATTTTCGTACAAATTAAGCTGACCTGAAATATTTGACCCTTTTATTCCGAGTGTAGTAACGTCGTGAATGCTAATAATGTAAGGGTTGCTGTTAAAATTTATGGAATAATTAAAGTTAATTCTCGCGACTAAATTGTTCAATAGTATAAATTTCATTCGTGGAAGTACGAGGCGAATTTATTTTAAATTTCAGCACTTATTATTTACTCTAAATGAACCGAGAAGCAATTTCGCCTAAGCGTAAAGTTTTATTTGTTTCAGAAGGCGACGCTGCTTTTATTGTTATACCATCTGTTCTTCACTATTCAAATTTTAAGCGATTATGTACAATAATTACTTTTGTTGCTGCCTGAATAATGCTAAAATTTAATGAAACTAAATGTAGCGTACACTTTAATTTTCTATTCTACGTCTAGCTCACAGCCGTAACTAATCCCCTTTACTTGTACCAACTGAAGACTATCGATTATAAAACAATGCTAAAATGCATTGAGAACAAAGACCACAGACTTGGTCCCGATTCTCACATTGAAAGGGGAACGCTGTATGTCGCGCCACAAAATGTTTGAACTGTTGTTGAAAACTTTTAGTCGAACGACTCAACTTGAAGCCTTTCTTCTCGGTTCTTAGGACATGTGTCTTAAAACAGCGTATGAATGGAAATATGGGCTTATCGCGAAAACAATACGTATATTTATCGTGAATGTAGAAACATAAAATATAAAATTTGTAAGAGAAAATAATCATCACATCATTAGTATTGTCTGTAGTTTACGCGAGGGGTTTACATACAATTAAAACACTTTTAATGGTTCAAAAAACGAAATATACTACTTGACTACCCGAAATTTTTGATGCAGCAACCGTGGTCACGAGGCGACTGAAGATGGAATATTCTTAACCAAAAGGTACTACTAGAAATACTGACTTACAAAAAGCTGGACTTTCTCTAAACTTAGCTTATACATTTAAATAAAACACTTTAACGGTTTAAAACGCGATATATTAGTTAAACTGATTTGAAAATGATTTTTAACTTCGGCCCGACGTTTCGGATGCTTTGCAGCAGCCATGGTCACGGCTATATCGCGTTTTAAACCGTTAAAGTGTTTTATTTAAATGTGTACTACTCGCGTAAACTATAGACAGTACTTAGCTTATACGTTAATTTAAGACAAATAAAAAAAACCTTTTTGAAATATCATGTTTCATGATTGTAGAAAAGCTTCCTTTTCTACAAACACTTCTGTGTGTGTATGTATCTAATAAATTAAGTTGGTCTGATCAGATTTTAGTACCGTTGCTAGACTGAAAGTAATATATTTTTCCGGAATTGGAACACAGAACTTTTCATCATTTTATCAAGTTTGACAAAATGTCTTGAAAGAAGAAAATTCCTACAATACCGTTTAAGTGAAGTTACAATAACTTATTTAGCCCAAGAACAGTTAAACAACAGATGAAAATGCTCTTTCAAATATCTGTTTGATTGATTATTACTTATTTCTCCAACTGTTTAGTGGTACACTATTTGATTATCTTGCTTCCGATGTCCAAACAATAAGGAAGTCCATAGACCCCAATGGCTGAAGCAAAGCGTCCACAGACGTCGCGTACAAAAACCCTTCCTCCTGTTACAAGTCTTTATTAAAAGCACTTGCCTAGAGCGATATCATTCTGTGAAAAGAAAACGCCATACAAAGGAATATTCATCAGCACGCAAAGAGGCGGTGGGTATTATTCCTCTGCGGGATTATTTCATGAAAACCATGCCGGATAATATCTGAACTAGGCTCAAAGCGAAATCTTTTAATACGACACCATTTCCCAAAAGTAGTGCAATATTCAACAATGCTATATTCGTTTAGTAGCGCGCTTGGGCCAGGGAATCCTCGCTCTAAAGGCCAAACACGCTAGTTGGAACAAAAAAAATACGTGCATGAGAAGTTAAGTAACAGCTTTTAAGAATAAAGCAACAATCCTAAATTAATTCATGTTTCAAGTTTGCAGAAGCACACTTACCCCTAAAAGCTAAACGACAACCCTAACTTAATTCGGTCTAATGTGAGTCCCGCGAACAGTGTTTTTTCTTAATTAGCCACAACGTAAATTAATTTAGATGATACTTAATGCGTGCGAGTCGCTCTAATTTGCTCGGCTTAAAGCAAAGACGTGTACCATATAGAGTGAACCTCTTGAGTTATTTAACTAATTTTACATGCGGGGTAAGTTTTAACCCCACTACCACGTTTGCAAAGTGACAGGGTAGAATAAATGTTGGTATGCGCCCACTACTGCCACCAAATTCCATTTATCGGTTGTTAAACAAAGAAACTTACACAAAATTATTATTACAAATGTATGTCAAGCTTTCATGATAGACATTGCCTTTTGTGGATAATCCCGCGAAAGCCTATAGCTTAATTTGATGCTAATTGATATATAAATAAAGAATAAGTTTTAACGGCTCTCTGTAAAACTTTAGACTATGGCATAATAAATGATAAATAACTCTTAATATTCATGAAAGTTGCAAAGGGATCACACCAAATTTTATTGTGGCATACTTTTTACATGTTTGCAGTGTCGCTTGAACGTGTGCTGAACGAGTTTCCGCGATGCCTCCAAGATAAACTAGATACACCCTTCGAAATTAGCACTGAGCAGCTGAGAACCTATTTCTCTAGAACAAACATTCATTTAACTTGTGACGTCTGCTCGACTACTAACTAGATAGCTGCAACGGAAAATTACTTTGCGTAAACGATGTTTCGGAATCAATCGGATAATCTGTGAGATAGAACATACCTTGGAGCGAGATAGAATGTTCTTTAGGGATAATCTCCTAAATATAACTGCCACATAGTTAGAAAAAACACTATTAACGGATTAAGACGCGATATTAAATTTATTTAAATGTATCCTACTCGCGTAAACTTTAGGCAAAACTTTCCTTCATACAAAAGTAACATGAGAAAGAAAAGTGTTGCAGGTAGAGCATTATTCAGTGTCACCAACAGCGCGTGCCGTAATATATGTTTTAATAAAACGGCATCAATTTCAAGGAACTAGGTGGATATGCGTAATATCAAGTGAGGGCCTCCGATATATTGGTGCTACCCTAATAAATCCAGGTATCGCCATTAAATCATCGTCCCGGAACGAATGAGAGCCAAAGGAGTTCTTAGTTACTCAAACTTTAATACTTATTTCTTATTGCTGGTTATTTTATATCTTATTGATTTAGAGTCTTAAGTTTGTATCCTATAAAACAACAAAGAAACCAAATTTAATTTTAGAAGGGCCTGTTTTAATATAATTATTTAAGTATTTTACTTACTACATTTATAAATTAAAAAATCCACTTAGAATAAACGGCATCCACAGCATTCCGTGCTACTACTCTAACCAATTGGGCTGCCAACCGTGTATGTTTAATGGTCATGTGCGCACGTGGTCCTCAGTCCAATTCCCGGAGAAAAAATGTTATCAGTCTGGCATAGCATAGCTCTAATCAACTACCAGGCTGTGTATAATCGGACACAGAAATGTGGCCCATTGCTACATTAAGTTACATCAATAAAAAAATAGTTTAAGAAGTCCTAAGATTACCTGAAAAATGAAAAAGGGCAACCCCGTTTCCCCCTTTTTAGCATGGGGTGAATATATTTCTATATCCCTAACAACAAGTCGATCTGATTTTTGAACCTTGCCTGACCAATACAGTTTAACATCCGCGCTTGACGCACTGTTTTTAACCATAGACCTATGACAGCCTCGAAATATTTGTTCAAATTATACATGTAAAGAGAGTCTCGATAGCGCTATATCTATTTAGAGCAAATTTCCCCAAGTGACCTTCAAATTAACAATTCATTCCGACCTAAACAAAGAGAAACAGGTGGATAGCATGACGCTACATTCGCTGAAAGATTCCATAAAAAGTGTAATAGGACCCTCGTCACGTCGGGACATCTTATTTATCTAGTCACTGGCGAAATCATTGTTTCCTTTCACGTCGCCGTAAAAACACGCCTTATTGCCGACGGCTAACAGATGACCTAAGAACGCTCTTTGTCTTCGGCGCTTGCGTGTGACGTCCCATTGTGGTCCACCCACAATGTCTCTACAAATGAGCTTAATGAGACGCGTAACTGACTTAACGGTTAAAAACAGGAAATGCTGAAACTGCAATAGTAATTTGGTCACGTTAACCGTTAAATATGTTTTCATCAAATTCTTACATACGTAAGGGCTAGTAGAAAGATCTTATGTTATATCAGCAGCTAATTAAATTCAAATCATACATATGAGTGTTAATGAGTGACTAACATTGTAATTAAAAACCTTAATTGCTAGGTAGAACAATTACGACTTATTTTTTATTCCGTTGAGTCTACGTTGCGCAGTAACGTGAAAAACGAATAAGCGGTGTTCATAATCTGAAATTGTAAAAAAAATATTACAAGTGGAATAATAAAGAAGGTATATATTTGTGGTATAAATACGGTATTTCCACAATGACAATTTCTAGGAATATATAAATTCCATGCAAGTTAACCACTACAGCTGTAAAAGCCGTGAAATTAAAACGCTTTTCAGTTCCAATCTGTGGATTTCCGAATATCCTAAGCCTCAATAGGTCGACAGCCCATCTTGCCGATGAGTAATATGGCTGGGGTACATCAAGTGAACCCCGTGCGTTTCTGTCTTACTCTATTATAAAAAAAAATGTTTTAAAAGTTGCGCTTCGTATTGTTACGGTGATAAAGAGCAAACTGAAAAACAGCGTATTTCGTGCTGAGCACAAGCTGAATCAGATGTCTTTTGGCACAAAGTTTAAAATATTTCTTCTTTTATTTTCATTCGCCTCAATCCTTTTTTTGCTAATTATGAATATATCTTTGTTAATAATAAATATATTGTTATACATGGTATAAATACTTGTGTTATTCGTGGTATATACAATTAAGGAATACACTTACAGATGTAAATGTAGTAAGGGACATCGGAAACATTTTCCAACCAGTTATCGAGAGAGGCCTCTTCGTTCTCTCCATGAAGATCCTCATGCTGCTCTTGAACTGATGGCATCTCGGTGTCCAGTCACAACTGTATAGCGCATGTGACAAGAGACAACTCTGAAAGAATTTGCATTTACTTAATAAATGACATTTCATAATAGTATTTAATAAAACTCTTTAACGGCGCGACGTTTTCGATACTTTGTAGCAGCCGCGGTAACAGGGAAAGTTTAGTTAAAACATTGAGTTCGCGTTTTTAATCGTTATGAGTATTTTATTTAACTACAGACAATTCTCATTCGTATTTACATTAGGCCACATTAAAAAAATTCTAAATAATACAGATAAGGAAAACACTTGTAAGATTCGACATTTGCTTAAATGAACAGAAAATTAATATATTCCCTTTGTCATCACATTTACCTTTAGATAAAGGAAAAGAAAATGAAAAGTCACTTTATAAAGGTGGACATTAATTACTCAAAATCTCTGAACAACAAACCTTGTCCATTATTCTTGTTCCAAACCAGGAAGGAACTAAAATTTGTATGATCATTATGAAGATGTATGTGCCAAGAAAGATGTAGTACTGCAAAGGAGATGGCTAGAAACGTGATATTACTATTGTTTATAATATAGTTACCATAAAATTGATGGAAAATATTGATTGTTGTGTATTTATTACATTTAACATCCAATGAAAAGTTTATTTTGACGAAAACACTATCGTAAGATGGTTATGACTCACCAAAGTAAAACGGAACAAGCACACACAGATCACTCCAGATGCAATGCTAAATTGAGTGAACAGTGATATACTGAAAACATTTTCTATTAAACTACAGAATCTGAAAAAAAAAAACTATAATTCTAAATGTATAAGAAAACATTGTAAGTAAGCCGGTACGATCAAAGCGACAAGCCTAAAGTCTCAGCAGTGGGATCAGTTAAAGCTCTTAAGATGACAAGGAATAAACAGAAAGTCATTTATGATACATACTCTGTAATATGATTATAGCGTTGCACGGCCTTATTAAATTTTAAAATGGCATCTGTGTCATCTATTCTGCTACTCTGGTCTCGCTCATTCACAACACCTGAGTTTGATGGATTTGTTATATTTTTCAATTGCACAGCAAGGATATCCAACTGCGCTATCACTAATATCATGAGTCCCAAAATAAAGGTATCAATATTAACATTACTCAACATGCAAAAATGTATGCCCAGGCATTGGTACAGGTATATCGGATAGATCAACGTTTGTCGCGTTTCGTCGGATAGAAATGAATAGCTACAGATCGGTGGTTTTAATTTATCTTTACCGAGGATATATGCGAGTAGAGGTAACGCCATATTAGTCAGGTTACTCGTATACGATATAAATGCTACGACCTTCCAATATCTTGAATTGAACCTATTGGCTTCCACTAAAATCTGTTCTTCGTGTTCGTCGTGCGGTTGAAAAATATCGCTCTCTAAAATTTCGAGTAATCTCAAAATCTTTTCTTTCATTAGCACAAATGTTGATATTTTCGATGCCGAAGCCACTATTGTCAGGTATAACATCAGTTCCTCTATAAATAAGTCCATTTGATGTGGGAGAAAAAGAAAATTAATCGAAAATAACAAAACGTACACAAGTACGAATAACATGAATACTAAATAGGAATAGACAGACGCGACTACGCTTGTCAAAACAGGGTGCAAACCCAAAACCTTCCAATATTTCTCATTTATTTTAAAGCAGCTTATGTTCGATGACATAATTTTAGAATTATTCCCGGCTTTTTATCGTCAGTTCTCTTTAAAATCTATTTATGTGTTATAAAAGAATCGTGCTTTTAAAATTATTTTATAGCGTCGAAAAGCTCCTGCCTTGTCATTATTTCATTTAAATTACTATAAAGTGAGCGTTTTATTATTAATTTACACCTTACAAATATCTCACGCAGAGCATTTATATATCTTTTTATTCATAGTTAATTAATAGGTTATACTTCAGGTACACGGGTGTAAAAATACGCGATTATGAGTTGTAAAAAGTCTAGGGCGTAAACTACTTAACACCAAGTTTTAGTACAGCTACGGTTACTTATTTCAAGTATTTTTTATTTCAAAATCTTGAATTGGTTTATACCTTGTCTCTGAAATACCCTCCTGGTCCTATAATTTTTTTACGCAGCTGATTATCTCTCAATTAATCATTTTGACGACGTCTTATAGCTTTTATTTTTGATAAGACATATAAATCAAAGTCCTCTGTGTCACTAAATATGAGTCCGCAAAATGCCTTTAATTTCTGCATATAGGTTAATTGCGAAAGGCCGTATATTTTTAATGAGATGCAATTAGTAAGGTAACGTCGTCTACTCACAAAATGGTCTAACGGCCTGTTCTAATTACCAACTGAGTAAGAAATATTTTTAAAGTTTTCTCCATGAGCACTCGTTTATAATTTAAACATCGGCGAGCGCTATTTCTTAAGTGTGATAAAAATAAAAATTCTCAACATTTTATATTTCCTTATTATTTTTACAGCTTTCTTTACTCTCGCCGTTGTTTTCCGTTCGTTGTTGAAAACTCGCAATCAATCCTCGCTTCGCTTCGTATGCAAATGTTTGTCTTTAGATTCTAAGCACACAAATATTAAAGGATGTTTTGTTTAAACTGTTCCTATTACATACACAAGTTATATAGGCAAAACACAATAAAGTCAACTGAATTAATTAACAGTGCAAAGCAATGTCCCATTCCCATTAAATAACTGAGGAATACTCAGTTATTTAATAGGAATATCAGAAGTCCTTTTTCAAACGATGGTTTATCTGTTACAGTAATAATGTGAAATTATGTAAAAATTATTTGAGTATATAAATTAATTAATTACCGTTTCTTGTAGATTCGCTTCGCCCATTAAAGGAAAAATCAACAGGTAAGTTTGCTAGAGTACTATTTGTTTCGAAAAGCGCTATTCAATGTAAGAGGAGTAAGTTTTATGCTGCTTTCGCTACAAGAACACTTTATGAGGAAACCTTAACTCATTCTTTCAAGTTACAGGTTTAAAAGAGATACTATTTTTATCTTTTTTAGAATATTTATGTGTCGTTTTCTTTTCAACGATATTTATCATTAACCGAACTGTCTTTCAAATATTAATAACGTGTAGAACAACAATCAACATTCTTAGTATGTCACTAACACAAATATATCTTTTCCTAAAATCCTGTGACTAAATTGCTTATCGTTTTCGTAGCTGAAGAGTTACGCAGTCCTCTCTCAGGTCTGCGATATACAACAAAGATAAAACATTCGACAAGGGTGATACAATTTTCAGGCTCCATCATTAAGCTGTAGTACTAGATACTTTTCAGCACATACGCGCCCCCGGGTGTTCATCAACCGATGTGAATCAACCCTTAACTTTCTTTAGGGTTTCACCCACCCAATACTTGTATTATACGGGTGGATATATTATTTTTTTATGATACTAGATTTGGTTTTAGACATAGCTTTCGTATGAAACTGAAAGTTGAAAATAACGTTTTGACCATGCGATGTTAGTCACTGAGGTAGGCATATACGCCTACCTCAGTGACTGACATCGGTCCTTGGTTGTATACTATTGGAATTTAGAATAGAATAGAATAGAAATACGTTTATTCAGAAAACAACATAAATTTACAACAATATACATTCTAATATTACAAACATACTATAGAATTATAATGTTTATAATTATATATATAATGTTTTACGATTAAAATTACAGTTAAAATTAAATAGTACAGTTGCGTCTGAAAAAGGAGTCCACTCAGCTAGTACGTTGGGACTAATGTCCCAAAACTGATATTCTGTGGCCCCTTCAGAGGCCGAGCTAACACAAGCGATACAGTTTGACACAATACAGTTTAGAAACAATGTCGTCCCTATTGGACATTTTAAAAATCTAAGATAAATTTTAGTTTTCTTACTACTAGAGATGTTTTAAGAAAGCAACATTTAATATTCATCTGCGGCTTACGAGCTGGGAAGTGGCCGCTTCATAAAGACGATTTGAATTTTTAATAGCTCGAAGCGAGCGATTAATTTGCTCGAAACGAATGTTAATCTCACAAAATAAATATTCATTCGTAATTTTGTGATTTTTCTTTTCCTTTGGACATTTGAACGGATGCCGTCATTTTCACTGAAAAATATTCAAGAAGTCATTGTTTTTTATTTACCAAAAGAAATTGTCGCAAATATAATATAAAACATCTGTTAAATATTCATATGTCGACTACATTTAATTTAGCTTTGAAGCCAATGTTTACGATACTCAGTGTACTGAAACTCGATGTGTCCGCAATAAATAGGATTAATTAATGTGTCCATAATAATTAAGCTCGAATACGTTTCGCGCTGTTTTGTTATCATTAAGCTGTATAATCTCGTTTTGTTATTCTTACTAATTTCACTCCGAAATCTGTGGACACAGCGGAAGATTTGCGTTCGTTTTAAACGAGCAGATTATTTTAACGGATTGGGAATTTACAACGTTTAATCATTTCTCGCTTATCGGCTTGCATTCATATTTTTTTTATTTTTCATTGAGACGCGATAATGGAAACATACTTCTGAATATACATACGAAATGATCATAAAAATAGTAAGTATAATCTTAGTATTTTTTTGTTTCTATGTTTGCTTAAGGAAAATATTTATAATCTTTAGGGATTTCCATTCCGTACGCTGCGAAAACGATTTATGATAGCATAATAACATGTACCAAACCATTATTTATTATTTTAATATAAAAAAACTTCGTCACGGTATATATCTATCTTTAAAGATTTACAAGAACCGTTTTTATGGCTATCAAATTTCATCGAAATGCTTCATACGGTAAGAAAAAGTTTGCCAGGCCAGTTCGTATCAGGTTCTGGTCGAATATACTACTTACCACACTCCCCACGTCAAACTTGCCCGACGTGGGCGTGCATTAGGCATTCACACAGTATCAGGTATCGTAATAGCGTAATTAACTACTCTAACAAAGTCTTATATATGTTTTCTATTGCAGCCATACTGTGCTTCAGTGTATCATGTATGTTCTTTGGGATTTTAGACAGAATTCGGTCTCGTGAAAAACCTTTGTAACACTAAAAAATATTTTTGTTAATAATTATTTAAATTATTGAATATACAAAAAGTCTCAACATGAATGAACAATAGACACTAGCGTCCAGACGTCAATTGTCTAGGTGTACAACTTAAGTTACGAGCGTAGTCCTACACTTTGCAAGTAAACGAAAACCCCCTCGCAGCCCCGGAGCGTCCCCGGAGCAGACGGCAAATGAAATCAGCTATTCAAAATACCCCTGCAAACCTCGTCAGACAATATAAACGTGTGTTTATTCAGAGATGTTAACATGTTTCCCTTCAGCTTCCGCGACACGCACACACCAGTAATGGCCAAGCTCATTAGTGCTGTCCTCGAGAGCTCTCGGCATTAACAGATAGCGAACTTGACAACGTTACACGAACGAGAGAATGTAACTTTCGAAACTAGATAGTTTTTAATGGTCGTTTTCATCCGGAGTATTGTCAACTCCGCAAGTGATTGTTACAATTACTTTGTCTAGCTCGCTACGACCGGCGACTGTATTGCATTACGCAGCAAACATCTTAGTTCGCTATGTTTTGTATAACGCTCTTCATATATCTTAAACTAGCTGTGCCCGCGTCTTCGTCCGCGTGGAATAATGACTTGTGATAGAATTTTTAATTATTTTAGTTTTAGTTTATTAATGTATGTAAGGGCGCATTTAGGGCAGCCAATCTATGTTGTAAGGGTTACTTTGCTGCAACACTCTCACCTCACATCAATCCTACTCTAACTCCTACTCTCATTCCTACACTCACTCCCACTTCTTTTTTTGTCATATCATTAATACTCTTCACAGCGTATGCGATGAAAGACATTTTATGGCATTTTTTTTACATCTCCCGTTGCTTTTAATAGGAATTTCTAAAGATTTCTATCGTAATCTAGTACTAAGTATAATCTATTTTACTGAGTGATAATGTAGCTTTCTAATGAAAAAAGAATTATTAACATCGGTCCAGTACTTTTTGAGTTTATTCGTTACACACAAAAATACAAAATACAAACCATCTTTCCTCTTTATAATATAAGAGTTAAATAAGTTAGACCGAAATGGATCCCATTATATAATTATTTTTTTACAACATAATAATATTAATCTCACAACCAACCAAAAAACGTTAGGTATGGCTTTCTCATTTCTCACAAAATACCCCAAACGAATTGAACAGTGATCGATAGATATTTTGAAGGTTTATTAGTAAAATTTAAATTAACGATATTATTAATTATCGAAAGCAATTAGCGCGCACCGTTCCTGATATCGCACTAGTAATTTTAATCGACGACAATTTGAGTTCGCTCAGTAATGAGCCCGATTTGCACGTGACGCCTGCTATTAGCTGCGAACGCGTTAAGGTCTATCCCCCCCACCTACCCCCTCATATTACATAGTTTCGAACTCAGTGATTACTGTGGTACACTTAAAACTAAAAATACAAGT